GGAACCCTATTGGAAGCTGGGAATCGAACCCGGGTCGGCCGCGTGCAAGGCAAACACCCCACCCACTGTGCTATCGCTCCAACCCCGCTTGTGGAAGGTCTTGGTCACGGGGATTCCATCTGGAGTAGGTGGGGAGACTGCACCTGCTCCATCCAGGGTCACTGTCCTCCCGTTGTTCATCGATTTGCTCAAGCGGGCACCAGTAACGTCTCCATCGTGAGACTTGTTGTTACTGTGTTTGGCATCTCGAAGACGCCATGGGGAGCTTGCCAGGCTTTGCCGTGCGGGCGAGATACTCTCGGTAGCTTGCCGGGCTCTCTGAGAGGGGCGGAGGAATCGAACCCGGCTTGGCTGGGCCGGCTGCGCACAAGGCGAATGCCCTACCGCTGTGCTATTGCTCCAGCCCCCATCTAGGTTACCCCAGTGAAACTGTTAAGCTGCTTTTCAATGGGCTGCAGCAGAGATGGGGCCCTGGAAACAGGGGTTGTGTCCTGGGCAGGGTCAGCTGAGGGCAGAAGAGAGAGAAGACAATGGGAGGGCGTTTGCTTTGCCCGTGGCTGACCCGGGTTCAATCCCCAACACCCCATACGATCCCCCAAGCAGTGCCAGATAGACTTGCTGAGCACAGAGCCAGGAGTAATCCTTCAGCACTGCCAGGGGTGGCCCCCAAACCAAAAAAAAAAAACGTTAGCAGCGGGCAGAGGCAATAGTACATTGGGGAGGGCGCTTGCCTTGCTCTGCGGCCGACCCAGCTTTGGCCCCTGGTCCCTCACAGGCTCTCACAGCACTGCCAGGAGTGACTCCTGAGCACTGAGCCGGGAAGTAATGCCTAAGCTTTGCCAGGTGTGGCACCAGCACCCCCTCAAAAAAAGGGTGCTTGGGCCCGGAGCGATAGCACAGCAGGGAGGGCGTTTGCCTTGCATGCGGCTGACCTGGGTTTGGTCCCTGACATCCCCTAGGGTCCCCTGAGCACCGCCAGGAGGGATTCCTGAGTGCATGAGGCAGGAGTCAGCCCTGAGCATCGCCAGGTGTGACCCAAAATTAAAAAAAAAAAATATATATATATATATACACAGGGGCTGGAGTGATAGCACAGTGGGGAGGACGTTTGCCTTGCACTCGGCCGACCCAGGTTCGATTCCCAGCATCCCACAGGGTCCCCCGAGCACCGCCAGGGGTGATTCCTGAGTGCAGAGCCAGGAGGAACCCCTGTGCATTGCCTGTGTGACCCAAAAAGCAAAATAATAATAATAATAAATAAAAAATACAGCAGGGAGGGTGCTTGTCCTGCATACGGCCCACCCGGGTTCCATCCCCAGCATCCGATAGGGTCCCCAGGCCCTGCCAGGAGTGCTGAGTGCAGAGCCCTGAGCACTGTTGGGGGCGGCCCCTCCCCCTCAATTAAAGGTGGCCAGCCTGATGGCCCTTGGAGGGGTCACTGATCGCCCCTGGGTTTGTCAGCCGTGGCGCTGGAAGGGTGGAGCCCGGGTCATGGGTGCGTGGGCAGGCGGGTTCCAGCCCCCGGAGGAGAAGCTTGTGACTGGAGCCTCTTTGGGGCTGGCGGGAGGACAAGGACAGGCTCTGTGCTGAGCCGCTGCCCGCCAAGTTTTTTCCATGACTCGCCGCTGTGGGATGCTGCAGCCTCGCGCGCTCCATGAAGGCTGGTCTGTGTGTGTGTGTTTGCAGAAGGCGGAGGATTCCTCTCCCGGCCCCTGCCCTGTGGCCCCAGGGGCCTCGCTCTCCCCAAGCAGTGCAGTTCTCTCTCCCTCACTCTCCCTATCCCCCCTGGTGGGCAGCCCTGAACTCATGCAGAACCCCACAAACGCTCCTGGATGCACACAGGGGATGCTGGGGATCAAGCCCAGGTCAGCCGTCTGCAAGGCAAGCGCCCTCCCCGCTGTCCTCTCTCTCTCCAGCCCCCCATCCCCCACAAGCTCTTCAGGGTGGGGGAATGGGGGAAGGGCAGGTTCTCTCCCTTCTGACACCCTCATGGTGAGGATGAGGACCAGAGACCTGTGTCGGGTAGGGAAGGAAGTACTCGCTTTGCTGCAACTCACTCTCCCTCCAACGATGAAATTTGAGGTTCAGCTAATGACCCCCCCATACACACACACACACACACACATTCCCCAAACAAAAACCCTTTTCAGCTGCCACCAGTGGAAGATGCACTGGGCACAGTCCCATCTGCGTTTCCTCGACTCTCCCAGCTACATCATCTGTCTGCAGTGACCGTGCAGTAGCTAACTGCAGTTACCAGACTCCGTTACTAACCTCAGGTGATGTTTCCCCAAGGATCCTGCTGGGGCCTCGTTTTATTTATGTATTTTTTTTTTTTTGCTTCTTGGGTCACACCTGGTGATGCTCAGGGGTTCCTCCTGGCTCTGCACCCAGGAATCACTCCTGGCGGTGCTCGGGGGACCCTCTGGGATGCCGGGATAGAACCCGGGTCGGCTGCATGCAAGGCAAACGCCCTCCCTGCTGTGCTATTGCTCTGGTTCTGATGTGGCCTAATCTGATCCTTATAACAACCCAGCGGGAGGTAGGGAGGAAGAAGAGCCTCCGTTTTTCAGATAAGCATCACGTGCTACAAGAGATGGCGTAACACGGACCGCACAGTGGTATAAGGAAGAAACTGTCAACTCAGGCCAGGAGTCAAGGCGTGTCGAGCACCAGGCTGGCTGGGTTGGACCCTGGCACTGTGCAGGGTCCCCTAGTCCCCACCAGGAGTGATCCCTGAGCACAGAGCCAAGAATAGCCCCAGAGGGGACCAGAGCGATAGCACAGCGGGTAGGGTGTCTGCCTTGCATGCAGCAGCCGACCCGGGTTCGATCCCCAGCATCCCATAGGGTCCCCCAAGCACCGCCATGAATGATTCCTGAGCACAGAGCCAGGAGTCAGCCCTGAGCATCGCTGGGTGTGACCCAAAAAGCAAAAAAAAAAAAAAAGAGATAGCCCCAGACTATCTCCCCCCATAGCACCCCCGAAAGCAAAAAACATGGTCTCCCTACTTGCCTCAATTACGCTTTAATTGGTTTGGGGGCCACACCTGTTAGCGCCAGGTAGAGGTCCTAGAAGTGGGCGACTTCCAGTTATGGGATTGGGGGTCACTTCAGAGGTGCTCAAGGGACCAAGAGGGATGGGGGATTAAATGTGGGCCTCCCAGCCCAGCCCTTTGGGTCATCTCCCAGGCCCATGTCACTTTTCTATTTGTTTTGCTTTAAGCCACACCTGTTGATGCTTCAGGGTGTTTGGGGGACCCTATGGAATGGAGGTGGGGGGTGGGAATCGAACCCGGGGGGGGGGGGCACATGTAAGGTAAGCTTCCTCCCTGCTGTACTATCTTCCAGTTACACTTTATTTATTTATTGACTTTGCTTTTTGAGTCCCGGCAAGCTACCGAGAGTATCGCGCCCGCACAGCAAAGCCTGGCAAGCTCCCTGTGACTTATTCAATATGCCAAACACAGGAACAAGTCTCACAATGGAGACGTCACTGGTGCCCGCTAGAGCAAATCGATGAACGACGGGAGGACAGTGCTACAGTGCTTTTTGAGTCACACCTGGCAATGCACAGGGGTTACTCCTGGCTTTGCACTCCGGAATTACTCCTGGCAGTGCTCAGTGGCCCACAGGGGATGCTGGGAATCGAACTTGGGTCAGCCGCTGCAGACGAACAAACCTACCCGCTGTACTGTCGCTCCGGCCCCCCAGTTACACTTTTAAGAACAAAAAACACCAATTGGACCACATCCTTCTGTGCTCAGGGCTTATCTGGAGCTCTGTGCTGGAGGGACCTTTGGACCTTCAGGCCCTTTGGTGATGCTGAAGGTTCCGATTGGAGTTGGCCACACTCAAAGGAGCCCTGGTTCGAGTCTCCGTGCCCCCCGCCCCACACACTTCTTGCCCACCGAGCAACCTCTTGACCCTGCTTCAGGATCGGTAGCCGGTGCATAAGTGGTTGGCTGCGCTATCCAGCCTGATGTCGCGTGGAGGCAGTGGGAAGCAAGAGAGACAACTTCAGGCGTGGGAGAAGCTCCCGCTTATTCATTCATTCATTCATTCATTCATTCGCACGTGCAGGGAACGAATGAAGGAAGCAAGCAGGGAAGGATGCTGGGCCCTGCAGCCCCTGCAAGAGAGTCGCCGTGCATGCAACTTCCTCCACCCGAGAGGCAGGGGCTTGCTCTGGCGTGGAAGGAGAGAGATCTGAGCTCTGGGGGGCCAGTCCGGACCCTCCAGGCTGCAGCGGGGGAAACGTCTAGGACCCATCCCCGGGTGGTTCCGAGCAGAAGCCGAGGCCCCCTCCCCCGACCCCGCAAACCAAACCCCCAAAAAACCTCTCCGGGGCGGTGACGGGCTGCAGACCTGCAGGGAAGAAACCGCGGAGGGAGGACGGGACGGTGGCGTGCACAGTGCCGGGGAAGCCGGCCCGGCAGCGAAAGGGTCAACGGGGCGGGGCCGCCGCCTGCCCGCCGGCCCCGCCCCCCGCGGCGGGCTGGGGAGGCGTGGCCTGGGCGAGAGCGCGCGCCGATTGGCCGCCGGGAAGGCGTGACGCGCGGAGCGTCCCAAGGCCGGGGGCGTGGCCTGGGCGCGGGCGCGCGCCGATTGGCCGCCGGGAAGGCGTGACGCGCGGAGCGTCCCAAGCCCGGGGGCGTGGCCTGGGCGGGGCGCGCGCTGATTGGCCGCCGGGAAGGCGTGACGCGCGGAGCGTACCAAGGCCCGGGGGCGGCGGGAGGGGCTCGGCGGGCGCAGCGGCCGCGCGGGGCCGGGCCGAGCCGGGCCCGGCAGGTGAGCGGCGGCGCGTCAGGGCGTCGGGGCCGGGCGGGAGCGCGCGCGCGGGGGGCGGGGCGCCGCGCTGAGGGGCCGCGCGGGCGGGACCCGGAGGCGCCGCCGCCGCCGCCGCCTCAGGAGCCGCCTCAGGAGCCGCCTCAGGAGCTGAGGGGACGCGGCCTCCGCGGCTGCCCCGAGCGCGCGCCCCGCCTCGCGCCGCGCCTCAGCCTCAGCCCCGGCGCCGGCCGCGCTGTCATTTCCGGGGGGGAGGAGGCCCCGCGCCGGCCGGGCGGGCGCCGCGGGAGCAGGTGAGACCGTCGGGCCCGGGAGCGCCCCCCTCACCCGCCGGGGAGCGCGGGGGGCGGCGCCGGGGACCCTCGTTCCTCTTTCCCGGGGTCGTTCCTGAGGGGCTTCCCTCAGCCGCCGGGTCCGAGACGGGGTCGGACTCTCCCTGAGGGGCTTCCCTCAGCCGGGTCGGGCGCTCGGGGGGTCGTCCCTGAGGGGCTTCCCTCAGCCACCGGGTCCGAGACCGGGTCGGACTCTCCCTGAGGGGCTTCCCTCAGCCGGGTCGGGCGCTCGGGGGTCGCGCCCCTGAGGGGGCTTCCCTCAGCCGCCGGGTCAGGCACCGGGTCGGTCGCTCCTGAGGGGCTTCCCTCAGCCGCCGCGTCAGAAACCGGGTCGGACTCTCGGGGGTCGCCCCTGAGGGGCTTCCCTGAGCCGGGTCGGGCGTTCGGGGGTCGCATTCCTGAGGGGGCTTCCCTCAGCCACCGGATCCGAGACGGGGTCGGGCGCTCGGGGGTCGCCCCTTGAGGGGCTTCCCTCAGCCAGATCGGGCACTCGGGGGGTCGTCACTGAGGGGCTCCCCTACCCGGGCGCTCCGGGATCGTTCCTGAAGGGGCTTCTTCCCTCAGCCGGCTCAGGCACCGGATCGGGCGCTCGGGGGTCGTCTTCCTTCCTTCAGCCGGGTCGGGCGCACGGGGGGTCGCCCCTTGAGGCTTCCCTCAGCCCCCCCGGGTCAGAGACCGTGTCGGGCGCTCGCCCGGCGCGTCAGGGACCTGCTCGGGGTCTTGGTCTCCACACACGCTCCTGGAGTCCACGCAGGACGTGGGGCCACGTGTCCGGCCGTCCAGCGCCCGTCCAGGCGTGTCTGAGGCCCCCCCGGAGGCCAGTTGTGAGAGGCCGACAGCCCGTTCCCCGACCCGGACCCCGACCCAACGCCCCCCTCGGAGGGGGGTGGGGAACGAGCCGGGCCGCGCGCAGTCAGTCGCGGCAGTTGATGCCGATGGTGGACTTTGGTCCCCCCCGGAACTGTCCGGCGGAATCAGGAACCCGCAGGCGAGAGCTGATCTGGGGAGAGGCCAAAGGCACCCACGGGTGTCCCGGACCCCGCCTCATCCCGCGGGTCCCATTGCAGGGGATGCTGGAGGCGCTGGGGACATCCTCCTCCTCTTCCTCCTCCTCCTGGGCCGGCCTTGACACGTGACATTGAGTTGCTCCCTCTTGTGCCTTCCTCTTCTGGGGTGTTGGAGAGGCGTTTCTGTTAGAGAACGAAAACGCTCCCTGGTGCTGTGAGTGAGTGGAGGTCGCCCACCCCCATCCCACCCCACCCCTTGGCCTCACAGTTCCGTCCATCAGTAAACTCCAGCGAACTGTGTTGCCTTTGCGATCTTTTCTGAACGTAGGAAAGGGCTTGCTTCCTTCTCTTGCAGAAATCCGCTTCGTTGCTTTTCTCTTTTCTGAGTGTTCCCTTCCTGAATGAAACTTTGTTTTCCTTCACTTTTCTGGGACTTGGACTTCCCATACTTTGTGTGGCTGCCAGTTCGCGGTGGAAACCCTGAAGCTCCAAGCTTGAGCTGCTGGAATTGATGCCCACCTTGTAAATAGCAACCACAGCCGTTTGTTTCTCTACACGCCTTGTCAAGCTCTTTGTCTACACTCGCAAGGACATAGAAAGCGGATAGACTTTTTTTTTTTTTTTTTTTTTGCTTTTTGGGTTATACCCGGCGATGCTCAGGCCTGACTCCTGGCTCTGCACTCAGGAATTACCCCTGGCAGTGCTCAGGGGACCCTATGGGATGCTGGGAATCGAACCCGGGTCAGCCACGTGCAAGCAAACGCCCTACCCGGTGTGCTATTGCTCCAGCCCCCAAAGCGGATAGAGTTCGGAGGCTGCTGTGGGGTCCCTGGGACTAAGTACCAGCTGTTCTTGTTGATGTGGTGGAAAACTTAGTGACATTTGCTGATAGTTTGGCAACTGATGTCCTTCTCTTCCCTCACCTAATTGTTCCAGGTGGGTGGGAAGTGGAAGACAGTGACTGGGAAACAGCCTGGAGCGGTGCAGTCAATTGTTTTGTTCCTCTTCTTAGTTTCAAAAGAAATCAACCAAAAGTGATCCGGATTTGTGTTAAAAACAGTCTGTAGTGATGGTTCTGTTTGGGTTCACTGGTAGGAGCTGCCTAGAGCCAGCCCTTCAGGGTTTGGTGACTGCAGCCTGGCATCAGCCTGAGGCTCCGACCTGCCTTCCTCTGAGAATTGCTCCCAGGTTGATCATCCTCCTAGGTGAGCTGTAGGCCCAATGGTCAGTGTGTTGTTTTTTTTTGGGGGGGGGAATCACACCCGGAAATGCACAGGAGTTACTTCTGGCGGTGCTGAGGCCTGGAAGGTCCGGACCAGCCTTAGCCAGGGTCTGCCTGGCCCCTCTCTATTAGCTAATGGCCTATGAAGCCATTGGTTGGTTTTTTTGCTCACTTGTTGTTTCTTATGGACCATATGGGATGCTGGGAATCAAACCCGGGTTGGCCGCATGCAAGGCAAACACCCTACCCGCTGTGCTGTCTCTCCAGCCCCTCGCTAATTATTTTTTTCTTTTTGGGTCACACCTGGCCATGCACAGGGGTTACTCCTGGCTCTTCACTCAGGAATTACACCTGGCGGTACTTGGGGGACCCTATGGGATGCTGGGAATCAAACCCGGGTCGGCCGCATGCAAGGCAAACGCCCGACCTGCTGTGCTATCGCTCCAGCCCAATGGTCAGTGTTTTTTTTGTGGCCTTCCTAGAGTCCCAGAAACTTCGATTGGTGGCCACACCATTATGGCTGAGCCTGGCCCACTGTCCACTGTATCTCCTATTGGGAGGAGAGGGGACTTTTCCTGAAGTGCTTCCCCACTCTTCTCTTTCCTGAGATCCCGTGTGACCTCCAAGGACTTAGGGGCTCCTTAGCACTGACCTGGTGTACCTGAGGAACAGAATCCCTTCCTTTGCCATCGAAACCAACTTCTCATCCATATGTCCACAAGCCTGATAAGCCCTGGTGGAAGGAAATGTCCAGCAGACATCTCTCTGTGGTTTTGTCTGCCTTACCCAAAACCCAGGCTGGAGCGATATAGCACAGCGGTAGGGCGTTTGCCTTACAAGCGGCCAACATGGCCGACCCGAGTTCGATTCCTCCGCCCCTCCCGGAGAGCCCGGCAAGCTACCGAGAGTATCTCGCCCACACGGCAGGGCCTGGCAAGCTCCCCGTGATGTATTCGATATGCCAAACACAGTAACAACAAAGTCTCCAATGGAGACGTTACTGGGCCCGCTCGAGCAAATCGATGATCAACGGGAGGGCCTTTACTTACTTTACTTTTACTTTACCCAAAACCCAGAAGGAAGGCCCCATTCTGGACTGAAATGTTGGGGTGCATCCATTAGCCCAGTATGAGATAAGAAGTGGAGGGGGCCAATGCAGAAAAGAGAATTGGGGCTGAGCATCGCCGGGTGTGACCCAAAAAGCAGAGAAAAAAAGAAAAAGAAAAAGAAAAGAGCCATTGAGCTTCAGTGTGTTTTGGAGGGGTTGGTGGCAAGGTAACAGCCCTCTGGAGGTTAACTTGGGTGTGCCCTGGGAGGAGGTCAAGGAGTAAGTGGTAGTGAGTGTGTAACAGAAGAGTTTAGGGTGCCACTGGTGAAGCCTACCTGCTTCATCTGTGTCTAAAAAGCTATACCTCCTTTGATCCGCAACCCCCCGTGCTCTTCGAATACTTGAATCTCCTTTAAATAGTCTACCTGCCTCTGCTTCCAGAGGTGGGCAAGCTGCCCTTTGGCTCTGTTCGTATCCCTGCTGCCCTCTTGTTAAATTTGTGGCTTCTCATCCTCTCTGGAGCAGCAATCCAGAGGGTTCTGCTTCTGGAAAAGGCCTGGAAGGTCGGGACCAGCCTTAGCCAGGGTCTGCCTGGCGCCTCTCTATTAGCTAATGACTTATGAAGCCATTGGTTGGTTTTTTGCTCACTTGTTGTTTCTTATCCCTGGATTAGTGAACTCTCATTCCTGTGTTTTTCTTGTGCAAACCCATAAAATGTTGCATCTTGTTTGAGAAAGCATTGCCAGTAATACTTGAAGATATGGTTCCAGTCCTGTCTTATATCATTCTTGGACAGTTTTCTGGGCTGTTTCTAGCCTTTCTCTTTCTCCCTAGATCATCTGCCCTCCCAGCGTCCTCCAGTCCTGGAACCAGGTCGCCGTGAGTCACATTGTGTTGAAAGTCAAGCTTAGGGAATGTGCTTGGCATCATGAAACCCAGTACGAAACTGAAGCCGGTAGTTGGTATTTTACTTTTCATGGTGCCAGATGCCTGAAATTAATGACAGGACTTAGTTTCCCCTTCTCTGAAATGAGGCCATCTTTAGACCAAGGGGCTGATAGTTCAAAGGAAGTGCCTTAGCAGCCGTGAGGCTCTTTCGTGTGCTCGCTTCTCCTTTCATTTCACAAACGTTTATCAGTGCCTCTCCTGGGCCCTTTGCTTGGGAGTATACAAAACAAGTGCCACATGCCCCATCCTGAGGGCCTCACGAGGTAGTAGAGGCAAGCCCAAGGTGTGTGTGCACTTGTTCTTGCTCATGCTGCAGGGAGGGGGTCAGACCCGAAGGCCCTCACCAGGCCACGACTCCTGAAGTCTCCGGCCTGTCATTCTGACACACTCCAAAACTGAAGGGTCAAGACAACAGTGAGCAACTCTGAAGGACAGTATTCTGTTACTGGAAATGCGATTCTTCCACTCTCTGGCCGAATCACGGCCAATCATCATAGAGCTTTAAGTGGTGGTACTGGACAGATGTGTGAGCAGGGAAATAGCTGGAATTCAGGGAGTTTGTCTTAAAACACCAGGGATTTCCATGGAGTTTTCTACAGCTCCAATCAATGCCTGGGTTGGGTTTGCTAGAACAAATCTCAGTAGCAATTTGAGCTAAAGATGTCTTTGTTGTCTTCTTTCAAGAAAGAGGACTAGGGAGCTGCCCTACATCAAGGTTTCAGTGGGACATGTTGGA